GAAACGTTTTCAAGAGCATTTTTGTTCATTGCAAATCACTAATGAACATTTTGATCATTATAACAAGACATCATTCTATTTAAAGGCTCGTTCCTGGCATAGTTTGTTCTTTGGTTGGTAATATAAAACATATTTCTGTTATTTAAGGAACGAGTGGGAGCATAAAAATTTAAATTTTAAAAATCTCTGTGGCATTCAGTTTTTGTTCCATGTTCTTGCCTAATAGTTTGCTATCTTGTAAATGAAATGGAATTACATTTTTTCACATTAAACTTTAATAAACTTTTTGTGCACCAAGTGTAAAAGTTGTCAATTTCTTGTTGAAATACTACAAGATCAGACGCTTTTCGAATTTCCAGAAAAAGTTTCATGTCGTCTGTATGTATTGAGGCATTCAGTATTCAATATGTTCTCTACATCATTAACGAATAGAATAAACAGTAATGGTGCAAGATGGGAATGTTACATTGACTACTAACATTAATTCTCCTTCAAATCTAACTCTTTGTGTCCTACTGGTCAAGTATGACTGAATCCACTTTAATAACTGTTGACTAAAACCTAACTTAGATAATTTGAATAGCAAAAGAGGAATATCAACTCTATTAAACGCTTTACTGAAGTCAGTATATAGTGCCTCAACATAATGTCCCTTATCCATTGCGTTAATAGAAAATGTTACAAAATTCAACAAATTATTAGTTGTTGAACGTCCTTTAACAAAACCATGATGTTTTCCTGTAATTAAGTGCTTAACTTGTGCGAAAACATTTTATTTATTATAGATTAAATAGTTTAGGAATGCAGGACAATATAACAACTCCACGGTAATTTTATCCGGATATTTGTGATTCGTCAGATATTCGTATATCTGGATGAAATCCGTTAACATATCCGTAATCCGGACTCCGAATATTCCGATTACGAATAGATCCGGGGACCTGCTCAGTCGGTAAAGGCGCAGTTACAAAGCAAGGTCATGCTAGAGGTGGCTGGGTTCGATTTCGGGTCCGGTCTAGGAAATTTCCGGGATGGAAAATTTATTGACTTCCCTGGGCATAGAGAATGGTTGTACTTGCCACGCAATAAATACTTATGACATTTTTGCGTGTGCTAATTTACGCTATGCAATAAGCTTAAAATGGCCGTGGCCAAGAAGGTCAATTCTTCTGTCTGGCTCGTCCAGCAGACAATGAAGCGGACCGGACTTGATGTCTTCAAAGTAAGGAAGGCGCCTAACCGAACCGATAAACAGAATACGGTGGCCAAATCCCACGCCAGGAAGCTGTACTACGAGTTGTTGGTGCAGCCGAAATTCAATTATGAAGGGCAAGCTCCGGAAAACAGAGAAGGTCTTCAAAGTCGACAAGGATTTGAAGAAAGAGTGGATGAAAGTGTGTAAGAAAGATGGCGCAAGTGTTGCACAGGATTTGATCGGTAGCGTTAAATCCAAGGTGCGGGCATTTAGCCTGGAAGAGGAGGTTAAATAAACCAATTTTGCAAAAAACATAGCTAATATGTGTTTATTTATTCCCTGAGAGTTTCAAAAATATCCGACTGAAAATGAATTTTTGGTGATCATTTTTTTCTAGTGCATTCTTTATAGGGGAAATGGATGTAATGTCGGCCTAAATGCCCCTAATTTGGACCTATACATAAATTCAGCAATCGACTAAATTTTCAATAGCGTCCAAAAATATCCATTAGTACCGTCCCAATGACGCATTCATCTAGATAAAATTGATAAATAGCAGATTCTTAGCGATGGGCCCAATCTTAGATCCATAGGCCAACATTAGAGCCATTTCCCCTATATTTTTTTTTAATGTTTACACTTTTCAGCTTCTACCCTTCTAAAACAATCTACGTTATTTATGGACATCCCTCGATGAACTAAACATAATTTTCTACTTTCAGGAATGTTGACCGGATATATTCTACATTTCAAGAAAACGCCACCGAAAGTACCTCTGTTCATCAATTTGTCATTATGGGCGATTTCACTATCAATTCTCTTTGGACTTGTTTTTGGAGTATGGGACGGTGAACTATCCGTTCCTGCCACAGCTCTCTATGTGAGCCTCGGTCATACAGGTATTGTTAATTCTTGACTTATTCAAACAGTGGATTTGAACTAATTTAATTTAAATTTTAGCGTGGGGAGTAGCTCTCATTTGGATAACCTTATCGTGTTGCTGGGGATATGCTACACCTGTAAATAAAATATTATCTTATCAAGCATTTTTCCCGCTAAGTAGATTATCATACTGTGCTTATTTGTTGCATCCAGTAGTAATGATGGTTACATCATTTCAAATGGAATCTCCTATGCATCTACAGCACGTAATTGTGGTAAGTATAAGGCTTGTCTCACACCAAAAAAAAAACTTGTATATTTGAATGATTTATATTATTTCACAAGTTGTACCGATTAAAAATATTTTGCTTTTCGGTTCGTTAATCGTTGTCAACCGTTTCGATCATCTGCGTGTTAATCAAATGGAAGTGGTCCATAATTGTAGGTGACCCATAATACTGGAGTGACTGTAATTAAAAAAAAAACTTCTCGTGTCTCGCCTATATCATATGTTGTGTATATGTTAAGTATACATCTGCAAACCCAACGATCTTGATACCTTGGGCAGCTTTTAAGCGTCAGCAAATTGGTGTACATACACACGTTTGGGGTCACCCTTGAAAAAATATGAAATTTTTTGTTGCTCATATCTCAGCCATTTTACGACCAATGTTCGATATTTATAGGTCATCTCAAAGGTATTGACTGAAATTTAGTTCGTAGCTTACTGGTTTAATATAGTTTACAATTTTTGTAAACTAAAACTTCTTCTAAAGTTACAAAATTTTCCAAAATTCATACTGATTATTTATGACTGATCTTCTCACTATTGGATTTCGCCAAATTTTGAAATGAAAGTGGAAGTGGAACCCTAATTCAATACCGATTGAGATACGTTTGTGAAAGTTTGGTTGAAAAATTTAGAATAGCATAGCATAGCATATACGGTTGTACAAATCGTGGAGGTCTATGTAATGGTCAACAAATACATTTTGCAGAAAATGTCGTGTGTTGCCGTTAAAAACACTTGGAGTTAGTGGTTTTTCCCACACATAAAAATTTGCGAAACAAGCATCGCATTATACACCTGGACACATCCCGAGACGATGTTAAATAAGAGACGCGCGAAGACTGAAGCCAAAAGTTCCAATCGAACCAAACGCGGTTCCAATTGAGCAATGTAAAAAAAACACGAGGGCCTCACGAAGAAAAGCGTGGGAAGTATTGAAATTGGGGTTGAATTTAATTGTTGAGGTTGATTGTCTTTATTAAGGAGATTTTCAGCCAGACGCTGATTAGCTGTTGAGATTTAAATAATTATAATTATGTTTGCATATGAAAAGTGAAATTGGACAGGAATATTATTGTAATTCATCAGCTGTATTCTCGTTATGTTCTCATGAAATATTAGCTCCAGCACAACGAAATACATCAAAATAGGCTCTGTTACAAAGATCGGCGTAATTTTTTAAGATAGTAAAATTTGTGAAAGACTTCAAAAGAGAGATTTCACTCATACATGATAGGAAGCAACTATTGTAGATTGAATAATTTAGTGCAACGCTCTGTAGAATATACCCTCCAATGAGGTATATTTGATTTCACTCAGAGTTGTTAAAAATTGATACTTTCATTGAATAGCAATACTACCGATACGGTTAAAAAAGTATTCAGTTTACCGTAATGCTGAAGCAGACGACAGTCGCTCAAATTAAAAGTCACTTGAAGTAAACACTAAATTGCGGGTTGCTAAATCTTGCAGAAAAAGAAATTAGTTGGCCGTGCAAACAGATTTACTTTTATTCTCTCCGCGCGTCTCTTATAAAACATCGTCTCTGGCCACATCCATATAATCCCAGGTGACAGGAAGGAAAATTAGACCAACATCTATTTAGAAGGTACAGACAGATCAAATATTATCAACCAAACTTTCACAAACGTATCTCGATAAGAATGGAATGAGGGTTTTAATATCACTTTCATTTCAAAATTTGGCCGACACAATTCTAAGAAAATCAGTAATGAATGTCAGTAGCAATGTTCTGTTCTAGCAAAAGGGCAAATCCTAGAGCAGCCCGGGCAAATGGTTATAGATCTACCCTATTTGACCATTTAAAGATCGAATTTTCATTATGTCGAAAGTAACATTCGCACCGATCCGATATGGTTTTGTTTTGATGACCGAAAAGTTATTCCTATTTCCAATTAATCATATATAATCTCATAATGGTAGCAATGTTTAACTTACCAAGTAATGTTTTAATCATATGATAACCGATCGCTAGCTTTCATGCTAAAAATACTGGTTTTTTAGCCTAAACTTATTATATGTCATTTAGTGGACACATACACTGAGATTATAATTAGTATTATATATTATAAATTCGTATTATAACGGCGCCGGTGGTGTAGTGGTAAGCGTGATTACCTCTCACCCCAGCAGGCCTGGGTTCAATCCCAGTCGGCGCCGCCGGGATGTTCTGAGGCATAAGATCTCTGATCACGCCTTCCTTCGGATGGGAAGTAAAGCCGTTGGTCCCCGGTTCATGAGTTGATGGGTCGATAGGTAGGGTCTAGGTGTGGGAGCTGCCTTCCTGGCACGTCGGTAGCATTGGTGCTCAGCACGGAAAACAAGATCGACGGAAAAAACAAACCAAAGGAAAAAAAAAAATTATAATGATTTTTGGCGACAATTTTATTTTGTTTTTTTTTTTTTTTTTTTAACTCTTTATTTGTTCCAAATTCAAAATAAATTACATTTCATTTTTAACCTAGGTGCTCCAGTTACTACAGTAACTTACCAGCCTTAATTGTTATGATATATATCTAAGTGTTTTTACATTGTTCCTGTCTTGGCAATTCAGTATTTTAAACAGGTTTTTTATACCTGCATGTCAGTATAACAATTGATAGCTTAAAACTAAATAACTAAAACTAAATCTTATCTAAGTATAAAGGGAATTAATCGTTGCAATTGAGGATTGTAACGATTTTTGCCGGAAATTATTAATTATTTTGTTGGACATTTGTGCTAAAGTCTCAACATTCGAAATTCTATGTACTTCGGTAGTACCACAGACAAACAGACATAACACTCGCAAGCTGTTCATCGAACAAGCATTTAACGGTCAATTTAAAAGTATCGTAGTTGGTAGTACCGCCACCTGTGGCGCGCATAGTCAATTCCCTTGCGTTTGACGTTTACACACTACCGCCATCTGTTCAGCGTACTACCCACCACAGTGTACTCAACAGATGGCGGTAATGTTTTAGCGACGATATTTTACATTGAGAAATATTCAATGTGTTATGTCTGTTTGTCTGTGGTAGTACTGTACCAGGGAGGCAACTTCAAAATCATCTTCAGAATTTTGTTCTGAATCCTTTGAAGTGCTTTTTTCCTGGTAGTGCAACAACTAGACCATATTGGCACAGCGTAAAGCATAGCCGGTCTAAAAACTTGTTTAAATATTAGAAGTTTATTCGTCAGGCAAAGTTTGGATTTCCTGTTTATTAGAGGATACAAACATTTAATATATTTGTTACATTTGGCTTGAATGCCCTCAATGTGATCTTTAAAAGTTAATTTTTGGTCAAGTATTAATCCAAGATATTTCACTTGGTTTGACCAGGAAATTGGAACTCCGTTCATAGTGACTATGTGACTACTACTAGGTTTCAAAAACGAAGCTCTAGGCTTGTGTGGAAATATTATAAGTTGAGTTTTGGAAGCGTTGGGAGAAATCTTCCATTTTTGTAAATAAGAAGAGAAAATATCTAAACTTTTCTGAAGTCTGCTGCAAATAACACGAAGACTTCTTCCTTTAGCGGAAATGCCTGTGTCATCAGCGAACAAAGATTTGTGGCAACCCTGAGGCAAATCAGGGAGGTCCGAAGTGAAAATGTTATACAATATAGGCCCAAGAATGCTACCCTGAGGAACTCCTGCTCTAACAGGTAGTCGATTAGATTTGGAATTTTGATAATTTACCTGCAGAGTTCTGTCAGTTAAATAATTTTGAACTAATTTCATAATGTAAAGTGGAAAATTAAACTTTTTCAATTTAGCAATCAAACCTTCATGCCAAACACTGTCGAATACTTTTTCTATGTCTAGAAGAGCAACTCCAGTTGAGTGGCCTTCAGATTTGTTTGAACGAATTAAATTGGTTGATGAGTAGTTGAATGCCCATGGCGAAATCCAAACTGCTCATCTGCAAAAATTGAGTTCGTATTGATGTGAAGCATCATTCTATTCAAAATTATTTTTTCAAAAAGTTTACTTATTGAAGAAAGCAAACTTATTGGACGGTAGCTAGAAGCTTCAGCTGGATTTTTATCCGGCTTCAAAATTGGAACAACTTTTGCATTTTTCCATTTATCAGGAAAGTATGCCATCGGTTAAATAATTTTACCAGGAAAGACAAGGTACTCTCTGGGAGTTTTTTGATGAGGATATAGAAAATTCCATCATCACCTGGAGCTTTCATATTTTGAAATTTTTTAGTTATAGACCTTACTTCGTCCAAATCAGTCCCCCAGGAATCATCAAAAATATTTTCCCGAGAGAAAATATTCCGAAAATCCCGAGCAACCTGATTCTCAATAGGACTAGTAAGACCCAAACTGAAATTATGGGAACTCTCGAATTGCTTAGCAAGTTTCTGAGCTTTTTCCAAATTTGTGATCAAAATTTTACCACCTTCTTTAAGCGCTGGAATAGGCTTTTGAGGTTTTTTCAAAAAATTTGTGAGTTTCCAAAAGGGTTTGGAACTCGGGTCTAATTTAGAAACATTATTTTCAAAAGTTTTGTTCCTCAGGGCAGAGAATCGCTTTTTAATTTGTTTTTGCAAATCCCGCCAGATAACTTTCATGGCAGGATCGCGTGTTCTTTGAAATTGTCTCCTACGGACATTTTTAAGACGGATCAAGAGCTGAAGATCATCGTCTATTATAATTGAATCGAATTTAACCTCGCATTTTGGTACTGAGGCAGCTCTTGCTTCAACTATAGAAGTAGTCAGAGATTCAAGAGCATAATTAATTTCATCTTTGGTTTGCAAAGGAATGTTTGGATCGAAGTTATATTCCATAAATGTTCGATACTGCTCCCAATCACCTCTATGGTAATTGAAAGTAGAGCTGTTGGGATTACAAATTATTTCTTGGGATATTTCAAAAGTTACTGGAAGGTGATCAGAACCGAAGTCAGCATGGGTAACCAATTGGCTACAAAGATGACATGAATCAGTTAAGACCAAATCAATAGTTGAGGGATTTCTTGCAGAAGAAAAGCATGTTGGGCTGTTTGGATATTGAATAGTGTAATAACCTGCAGAACAATCATCAAACAGAATATTACCATTGGAATTGCTTTGAGCATTATTCCATGAGCGGTGTTTTGCATTAAAATCACCAATAATAAAGAATTTAGACCTATGACGGGTAAGTTTCTGGAGGTCACCCTTGAGAAAATTCTTTTGCTGGCCTACGCATTGGAATGGCAAATAGGCAGCTATAAACGTAAGTTGTCCAAATTTTGTTTCAACAGAAACTCCCAAAGTTTCAAAAACTTTGGTTTCAAATGAAGAAAGAATTTTATGCTTGATTCGTCTATGAATAATGATGGCAACGCCACCACAGGGTCCATCAAGACGATCATTTCTATAAATCAAGTAATTTGCGTCCTTCTTAACCTTATGGTCAGGTTTAAGGAACGTTTCAGTTATAACGGCAATATGCACGTTATGAACTCTCAAAAAATTAAATAGCTCGTCTTCATTATCTTTAAGAGATCGAGCATTCCAATTTAAAATGTTTAATGCTTTAAAATCCATTACTGAATTTTAAAGTCATGACAATATTATTAGCAAATTTTACTCCAGTTTGAATAGCATCAAACATGGAGTTAGATTTAAGCATATCAGAAATCATGTCAATTAATGAATTCTGTAAAAATTCCATTTTAGGGGCAGTAATGCTTCCTAAGTCAAAATTGTCAAAATTTCCGTTAGAACGTTGGTTAGTATTTTGATTTCTACCCGCTGCAATAGCAGCATAGGTAGCTCCATTAACTCGCTGAACATTGTTAGCAGCGAGGGGAGTAGGTACAGATGAAACATTTGAAGCAGGGGTGATATTTGTACCTACGGGTACGAATGTAGAATTTGTTCCTCACTGACCGTTGTTAACAGCAGAGGAATTTGTACCTGGTCGGAAACGTGGAGCGTTTCCTACCTGTCGGTTAGAACGAGATTGTACGATCCCTTTGCGAGTCTTACATTCCCAAAAATTGGATTTGTGGTTTTCACCACAATTTGAACATTTAAATTTCTTAGGATCTTCCTTCACAGGACAGTCGTCCTTTGCGTGAGAGGAATCACCACAATTCATGCATTTAGCTGGCATGTAGCAATTTTTAGTTCCGTGACCCCATCCCTGGCACTTACGGCACTGAGTGAGGTTTTGGAAATTTCCTCCAGTCTTCCTGAAGTGTTCCCACTTCACTCGGACATGGAGCATAAGGCTAGCTTTTTCTAAGGCCTTAAGGTTGTGTAGTTCACTAGACTTGAAGTGAACTAAATAAAAATCATTAGAAATCCCGTTGCGCGAATCGCCAGGACGGGATGTCATTTTCATTTTGATTACTTGGAGTGGCACAACTCCAAGTAATTTTGCCAGTTCATCTTTGATCTGATCCAGGGATTCACCATTGGGCAGTCCTTTCATGACAACCTTGAACACACGTTCAGTTTTGGTGTCGTAAGTAAAAAATTTGTGCTTCTTCTCAGTAAGATACTTGAGAAGACATTTAAATCCGTCCAAGGTTTCAGCCAATACACGGCATTCACCCCGACGTCCAATTTGTAGTGAAAACTTAACTTTCACGAAATTCAAAAGTTCCATGCGAAGAGCATGGAAATCGGTAGTGGTTATCACAATAGGGGGAATCTTTTCCTTCTTGGCATTAAGCCGGGAAAGTTTACTAGAATTTTTCTTGGATGATGGATCATTCTCATCATCCGTGAGCAAATCAAATTGATTACTCAAATTAATTTCTTCAGAAGGGGGGTCAAGAGTTTGCCCCTTTCTTTTGCGTTTAGGCGCCATGGCGGCAGTAAATTTTTTATCCAAATCGACTTCCAAGCAGATTACTATAAGAATCTGAAGGATCGAAGAGGAATTTTCCAAATCGATATCCAAGAAGGATTACCTCGGGTAGGGTCCAAACAAGGATCGAAGAGGAATAAGAGGAGTTGAACAAGGTAGAAATTTTTTACAGGTTGAGCACTGAAAAGTGCTGTTTAAATTTGTTGTAGCTTTAGGTAGTAGTAACACTTCCTTAAGCAAAAAGCAAATAGATCCGCACGGCAAGAGAGCACGATGCGGACTAATTTTATTTTGTAATTCATACGATCGAACCATGATGTGCTGTCATTTTTTTTTTTTTCAATCATCCATCGTATGATTTTTCAGACATTCAACTATGAATTGCAATATAAAAATGCAAAATACATCATAGGGTTGTACAAAAAATGTGGTATGGCATATGTATGAAAGTTATAAGAGAAATCAATAAAATATAAATTTGGGATTTGTTACTAATTAGTTCGTCACAATGTATCTTTGTTTGCAGATGGGGTCTTAGCCGGTATTCTATATTTTTTTAAATGCCTTTGTAGCTTTCAGATCACACACAACTCCTGTTGTAGGTTATTAATTAGTGTTTTTTATTTCGATCACATATCTTGCAATATCTGGAATAGCGACTTACGCCACAGTTGATTCGGTTTGTGGAGATGGATATGTAAACAAAATTTGTTAGAAAAATAAATCGACAGAGAACAAAAGTGGAATGTGACACTTACGCGATCAACTCTTTTTCAGCGTACTGCTGATGTGTTCATTTGTAAGGCAGTGGCAGCAGCAGCGCTAGTTTAACAGTCTGTAAATGAAAAACTGTACACGCAAACCAAAAATTTATTACAATGAATGTTAGTTCCATTTCCTATCATCCTCTGTTCATGAACATCGCAGCGAATGTTAGATGTTGACCTTGCAGACGATGCACAAGCAAGCATTTGACTTGATTGTTATGTAGATGTTATGTGTTGATTACAAATAAAAAGCAATTTATTTAAACAAACATACAGGTTTACGCAGCCTTGTCACGTGTCGCGAAAATCGATCAGCCCTTTTTGTATTTTTTTGTGATTTCTTAATGACCTAATACTGTTCGTACGATTATTTAATGATTTTTTTTTTGTTTTTTTTTCATAAGTTGGGTCAGTGAAAATCATTCGATGGATTTATGAAATTCACATGGTTTTCCTAAACCTTTTATTGTAACAAACAATAAATGCTATAGATGCAATATGAAAATATAAGATTCTTATGAAACTGGGTCGAGATCATATTTTCATACGTTCATACGACGCAGCTTATGAAAATTGTAGGGACAGTTTTCTCAGTGTAGTGTTACCTGAAGTGCATTTACTAGGAAATTCGGGAGAATTATCAGGCACGTCTCCTTACGTGCAGCTCATCCATCATTTTAGGCCACCGAAATCATTTTAGCAGCAAACAGTTCAATTTAAAAAAATTTATAAGGAGAAAGCAAAACGACAAATGTACACTTTTTGTGGATTTATCTGCTCTGTTACTTAGGACAAACGGCATCTACATCGAAATCGTGTGACTTCCCGAGCAAAGTCCAGCATTAAAATGACAGCAAATTGAAATCAAGTTTTGATATCAACATCAAACTGAAATCCTAATTTGATTTCAGTTTATGCAATTGTTAAATTTTGTTTACATTTTCTGTACATTTGCTCTTCAAATTGAATACTTGTTTTGTTATCAACAGGAAAAATTGATATCAAATTGAGTTTTCAGTTTGCTCTCAATGATAGCAGAAATAGTTTTCAATGTGGAAGATTCACAGGAAGATTTTTTTGCTCACAGTTTTGATATTTTAACCGTTAAAACGACCAAAACGACCGCAACCTGAGCAATCTTATCAGCGAAATCACAACATCAAATTTAGATATCAATTTGATCTCAGACTTTGCTCGGGTTCCAGTCTGAAATCAAACTGAAAACTAAATTTGATATTGTGATGTCGCTGATAATGATTACGCGGGTTGCTGTCGTTTTGGTAATTTACCCGGTTAAAATATCAAAATTGAGAGCATAAAAATATTCCGGTGAAACATTTTGTAGTACTAGAATTTCGACTAGAATGGGATACGTTAATCGTTTGCTTGGGACCAATAGGCTAGTCAAGTAGTGAGCCAATTTAAAATCGTTAGTTTCGTATTGATTGTTGATTGAAGTGTATCCTCTTGGATGTAATATTAAAATTTATTTTTTTGTTGTGTATATGATCGACGCATAAATCCTGTCGATTTCGCTTTCAGAGAGTCACTAACAGCGATTTTATTATTCGTGAGCTCTCACTCTGAGTGAACGTTCATGAATCATAAAATTGCTGATTGTGACTATCTAACAGCGAAATTGATAGTTTTTTTGTTGCGTCAAACACATACTTCACAACCTCTTCTTGTCACTTACAAGTACAAAATATCATCATAACGTCTAATGATTTCATCATTCCGAAATTTATTATAACGAAATAAGTGGATGCTGATGCTATGTTCACGCTTTGCTCAGACTAGTGAGTTATAACATTTAAAAAAAATGGTCGAGTGTCTACGCGGGGGGCGAAGGGGAAGGTCAAAAACATCTAAAAAGTGGTCTACATAGTTCTTGAACAGCCGTTATAAATCTCCAAATTAACATCCCTAATAAACAAATACCATAAACGAACTGTATCCCGGATAGGTAAACTATCCCACAAATGGTTTGGATGATACCCCGAACACGTCGTTAAGCTCTCTTTTATGGTTATTTTTATTGGGGATAGCATTACAACTGTAAATCTAAAATAACCTAATATCTATTTTTTCTAGGTTACCATGTTCTTCGGAAATGCTGTCATTTCATTCATCTTGGCGTATTTCGTATCTCTAGTATTTGAAGCTCCAGTGGTGAAATTGTTGAAATTAGTGTTCAGGAAATAATACGTAATAAATGAATTCTAAAGCAAATGGAATTATATATTTATTTATTTCCGAACCATTATATTGAAAAATAAAATATAAATAAATATCAAACCCATGGAATTAAGATGAGGCTCCTTATTATGGAGGAAAACACTCCAGGGATGTAAAAAATGCAGCGTTACGCTTTGTTTTAAAAGTTTAATGTTTTTCACCTATTGTTCCAAGGGATAAATTATGACGGCGAGTCACGGTTAATCAGCGGAAAAGTCAGCGTATGGAATCGGATGTGAAAAGAGAGAACACTCGCGATTACAGTATAACGTGAACTTTATTAAAAACAAAATAAACACTTGGAAGGTGATAAAAACACACTCGCGTCGGTCGCGGTTCGATCGGAGAAAATGGCTGTTTTAAAGATGACAGCCACTTGCACTGCTCGAGGTGTCGGCAGCTACTAGGGGGTTCGGACGGGTGTGGTGACCAAGGAGTATCTATATCATAAGGTGAACATTGCTTTTCTCCACACTCCTCCTCAATGCTCAACCGCTTCACTGGAACTTCCGAGCCCCAACCTTCCACAGAACATCTGGTGCTTCATCGGTCCGAGGGGTTTCGTCAGAACAAACTCTCTCGTGTCAATATGCTTGAAGCGTCGGCTCGAACGCTCCGTCTTCACAACCGCGAGGCAACCCTGGTTGTCCTCGTTCAACACTGTTGAACCCTTCTGCTCCTCACCAAAGTCGCGCAGAAGTTGCCTCAACCATACGATCTCTTGGCAGGCTTCGCTGAGCGCCACGTACTCGGCCTCCATAGACGAGAGAGTGACGGAAGTCTGGCGACGGCTGGCCCATGAGATCACTCCTCCTGCAAACAAGAACACGAAACCGGATGTCGATTTTCGACTACCGACGTCTCCGGCCCAATCGGAATCTGCATACCCGATGAGTGCTTGATCTGGATCTCCTCATAGTCTGTAACATTAGAGCATGTCCCATTAAATTAAAATATACCCATTATTGTAATAGTTTGAAAGATAGGAGCTAGAACTAGAAATTGTTATAATATTTAAAATAAACTCGCCTATTTCAGCGCCGTCCGCTACCAAAACTGCTCGAGTAGATAACTACCACCCCTTCTCAAGGGTTGACAAAAGTGGATGGGAAGGAAGTTCAGTCCTCCGATTGCGATCGAGGGAGAAGATAAATAGGCGCTCGATCGTTGATGGGGTACGGACGCGCGGAATAAAGTCGAGTGTTAAAAAAAGAAAGTATGGATTTTTGCCTTCGCGTGTGTGACGCCTAGTGTGGCGAGTGAAACGGGCTGTTAACCTGGCCAGAAGAAGCAAAACCCAGTCTCGGTAGTGCGTAATTCTGGTGTTCGGATGAAGTGTCCCGAAACCTGCACGTGGCGTGCGTATTAATTGTCGTCGAGCTGGTCCCCAATCCTCGCCATTAGATATATGCGTTCTTGACTGCATGGTATTGGTAGTTCGCGAGTGTCCGTCGGTTGTGTGGTAGCCGAAGGAGTGAAGAATTGCCTCCTTCGTGCTCCTAGTGTTGGTCCGAGAAACCAGACCAGAATCTGCCGTTAGAACGGTTCACATTAGTGCGTGAGTGGATGAAATTTTGAACCTACGTCCGAAAAGTGCGCCCAAAATATTAACTACGTGTGTTCACAGGATTCCTACGAGAATCCCTGCCACAAGTGCAGGGCGCTCCAACGAAAAAGTCCACTTTAGATCGACTCGAGAGTTAATTTTTCGTTTGGTTTGGAGAAATCTTTCCTGTGTTTGATCTCCGTATAAAAAAAATTGCCTCTCTCAACATCGAAATTGATTTCTTCCATTTGATACAGAAACGTGCGATTGGACACGATCCATTGCAATGAAGTTTATGTAAGGTCCGGACCAACAGGCAGCTTGCTAAAATATTGTAAACATTGCTGAGCACTCATGTGACGACGTCACTCTACCATAACATTCCATACTACGAACAGTGAGATTTACGTCACTGCCAACAGCTGTTTCGTGTAAAAAGATAAACATTGCAGTGAAATACGAACACCACTAAACATTTGTTCATTTCACTAACACCAATAAGCCTGTTGGCCTGGACCTTATATAAAGGACATGGATCCATTGCACCCACAGATAGTGATCATTCAAGAGAAAGAATATAGCACTTGCTATCAGGAAATTGCTTTTTTAGCTAACACTTTGAAGCAAAAGGCACACTCACGATCGGCCTGGAACTTCTCGGATAATAGGCTGAAAATTAGAGCACGTATTTCGATCAATAGGTTTATTTTTTTTGTTTTGCATGTCGTTTAAGCATATACCGTATGTATAGGGAAGTGATATACTGAGCCACACAATAGGTAGTTGTTTTTCTGATCTTCGTCTCTATCCCTTACCTACCAGATATAGCGTGAGCAGGTGTTCTGTTCTTGGCACACTGCTATTTCCTTTGCAAGCGTAACAAGGTTTTTCTTGCAGATCACAAACTTTGGTCACTTTGGTAGACATGACTTCAGTTCGTTGGGCAAACAATTTCTGTCATAAGTATGGATAGAGAATACCAGAAGGAGATGTGTGTCGTTTATTTGACCAATGATGAGGTTGGTTTTGAACTTGAGATTAGGAATATGCTAGTGGGAAAAGATCGAAGCCTTAGTGTTAACCGCAGAAAACTCAAGAATGCTTTGCGAGAAGAAGCGGATGGGCTCGTTCGTATTTTTTCATACAACCGTAATCCTGAGAGTGAAATGTTTATATGTAGAGAAAGATTAGAGCGTGTATGGAATGAAATAGAAGCTAATGGGGCTTATTACGGATGTCACTTTACGGTGAAAACTTGTCACTTGTCGTCACGGTGAAGTGATTCCCATTTGATTTGTACGGCAATCACGGCTCTTATTATTAGTATCACTTTTTTATCACCGTGTAGTGACACCCGTAATAAGGCCCAATATTTTTGATCCATTGATGTCCAAAACTGCTCTCCTACATCTTTATCATCGCTTGAAACTTTTCAAACGAACATATGGCGTTAGTAGGCGTGCTAATGATACCAATTGGATTTTTTCAAAGGTGGTTCAAACGTATTTGACACACTTTAATGAAAATGCTATTTGCTCACCATTATCAGTTTCTGTTTTGGACTCAGTTTCTGTGGAATTACAAGGAGCGGCTAGCTTAGCTGCTCAGGCAGAAGAGCGGACTCAAGATTTAAATACATTGGATCAGCCAGTGGCGACAAAATCGGCTCTCGTGATGACGTCGGTTCTCACATCGCGGAAAATATCACCGGTGGTAACGCAAGCTCTTTCTGGTCCAACCTTACAACCTTAGCACCGGAAATTGAGCCACTTTTACAGAGCTTATGTATAAATTCAAGTTCAATATCGTTTACCAGTTTTAGCCAACCGTGAATTCATCGATTGTCACTACCGCTTCAGATAGTGCTTTAAATATTACGTTGTCAGCACCACGGTATCATGTCGCGTCGCGTGTACAACAAGCTAGGCAAGTTCGGTTCGACACGATACGTGATTTACTAGATAATTTATTGGACCTGTCGCGATCTACGGGAGTGAATACTTCGGTTCAAGCCAGTGCACTGTGGTCCAAAACGGCAAAAAGTGGAACTTTATTCCTAGAGCCTAGCCTTTACATTTTAGCCATATAGTGTCTTCGGAAAAAATGTTTGTATAAATATCTTACATAATATAAAACTGTCAAAAATTAGTCATGTCTTACTATGCAAAAAATAAAAGCACTAACTTTTTTCTTTGAGGATATAGGGGAACAATGTCTTCAGCAAAGTTGTAGACAATGTAAAAACAAGCAACTTCACTGAATACGTCAAAATTCTAAATCCTGTATTTTCAGAGTTATGGAGCTTTTTCTATGGAAGTTCCCTTAAATTTAGTTTTTCATACTTAACTTCTTTAAATTTCATTTTTCAAGTATACAATGTTCTAGACAATTATTTGAACAATCAAAACACACGTTTTTGCTCAAGATCATGAATCATTACAATTACTCCTTGTAAAGTTATTACAACTTTTATCTTTATTTTTCCATTACTTCTTAAGCTTTTAGGAGAGAATGGGGCAAGTGAGGACACAAAACCAACTTGTTTTCTTGAAGCTTAGCTCAAGTACTATAAAGTTGAGAAGGTTTCATTTGTCGCTCCCTTCCCAAATTTGAGTACAATAACCTTATTATTTATGGTTTTTCATATATTTTCACTTTCTTTTTAGGTTTTTTATACATAATTTTTTACTCTTTTATATTTGAAGTATATAATGTTCTAAATAATCTTAAAACAGTAAAAACACATGTATTTGTAGAAGACCGTTAGTCTCTACAATAATGCATTGCAAAGTTATAGCTTATTTTAACTTTATTTTGCTTTATTTTTTTGTTTATATGGGAGAATGTGGCAATGGGAACACAACATCATCTAGCCTTCTTAAAGCCCAAGTACCAAAAAAGCTATGCAGATTCAACTTCACCCTTTCCTCATCCTATTTGAGTATGACAACTTTACGCAGTTACATATTTTCTTATTTTTATAGAAAACTTAATATATTGAACATTCGCTGCAATAAAATTATACCTCAAAAATAATACACCATGTATTATTTTTGAGCTATACGCGAATAGCATAACAGTTTGTGTGATTTCACTGCCTGCTGGCAGTGTTGCTGATATTTAGGTGTACGTGTCG